GCTACATACTTGTTTTCTACTTCAAAAATGAACTGCATTTAAGTTGTTTAATTTTAGTGGTAAAGGGGGCAGGGAACAACAGAAAACAAAATCATATAACAATAATAACAAACCCCAATGCTAATATAATTCAAGCACAGCTGAGACTTCCCTTTAAAGGATGGACATTTGAGCGCCTACTATGTGTAGCCATTGCAACTGCTGATCTGACTAAGAGGGCAGTTGTATGTTTCCCTAGCAGATTAACATTCACCCCAAAGCCAAGCTGGTTTAGCATGCTTCATGTGATTATGCCAGCTCTCTGACATAGGTTCACACACATTTGGTTTATTTCTGTTGCACTAAATGGTAACAAAAAGCACTTTAGCATCTGAGTTACATATTACTGAAGACTAGACCAGGTCTTGGCCCCCTAAAAGGACACTTAAAATATAAAAAATAAGTGGGATCATTTGGATGAAATGTTTAGAACAGGGAGGGCAGCTGTGTTCAATATGGACACAATTAAAGATGAAGTTATTCACTTTCCAGTTCTTTGGGTAAGGATTAACTATAGACCTTAAGAGGACCTGGCTGCCCTGCTCAGAGGAAGTTTCAGTGGCAGCTGAAAGTTAACATTCATGTGCCTCTCTACTGATTTATGAAGCACTACCGCATTCTCCTCCTGATATTCACATTTAATAGTTTAAAGGTACATAGGAAAGACAGTGTTCTAATTTTCAGACTGAATGTGTGGATCTCTAGAATTTAGTTTGCCTGACACTCAAAAACAATGAGAACAAGATCATTTTAAAAATATCAGCTTATTTATTGCATTGAGAATTGTATTTCTAGGACAGATACATTTCAGAAGCAGCTGCAGGAGCTCAGAGAATTTTTAATTTTAAAATCGAGGCAATTCATTTTCCTGATGGAGAAATGAAGCTTAGGCCTTATATAGCTTGTTTTACATGGTGAAGCTGGGCTGTGGGCAGTCATTTGCAGAGCCCAAGCTCTTAATCTATGTTGGCTCTTCAAAATCGGAGTACCAATTATATACTTGCACATGACATCCTTGTATTTTTCAGTTTTAAATGTGATCTCTGCTTAACATCAGGCCTTCTTAGGACTGCTTTTGCAGGTAGGTGAGGCAACTAAGGGCCAGAGCCATTGAATAACATGTCCAGGAAATGGCAGTACTGTCATTCCCATGCAAGTCTGTTTAACTCTCCATCCTATGTCCTTTGCCCCACATGGGAAGACTTTTGTTTCGGTTTCTGTTCACTGCGAGTTTTTCCATTGCTAACCTAGCATCAGACTTCACATAGTAGGTAATTGCTAAGTATTCAGATAAACACCAAGATGCAAATCATAAAGATTCATAATTGAATCCTAGCTTTACCACTTAATGAAAATACCTTGGGCAAGATACTCATCATACTGGAGCCAAGAAATAGAGATATATTTTTTTTGCTGGTTACTTAAAGTGAAAGTCGAATGGGAGAAAGGAGCAGTCTTCACTGGCCACTAAACTTTACAAAAACTAAGTGAAGTAGACTCATTTATGGAGAGACCTTCATCTGCACTTCTGGACATGGCATAAAAAGTTTCAGAGGTGACAGAAAACCGTCTGGTTCAAGCGTAATGATCTAGTTTACTAGAATCTTTTTTAAAAGAAATAACTGGGACAGTCTCCTAATAAATGGAGATTAATTATACTCTTTAAAAACCTCAGTAGAGGGCAAAGGATTTAGAAGTGAGGTGATAATATACAATCAAAAAGTATATTGGATTTCCTAGGATCAAGAAAGCTATACTTGGGATATGGGGAAAATGTCCAAAGTCCATGCTTTTTAATCTTTCTGCATCCTCAGATTCAGTGAAACTGCACTGTATTTAAATGCTTTTGCTTTATTATCTCCATGACTGAAGGAATTCAAATACTTTGTTATGCTTTCCACTGAACAACTGAATCATAAAACCACTGAATTATGAAAGTTACTCTTAGATCATGTGGTAGAGAGCTAGTTTAGGTACAGCTGGATGGGCCCTACTGCCAGGGTTTAGTTTAGGAGATCTGGGATGGGGACTGAGAGTCTGCGGTTCTGACAAGTCCCCAGCTGATGCTGATGCTGCTGGTTTGGAAATCAACTCTGAGAGCTATTGTCTTAGATGAGTTCTTCTAAGCTGTGAAATATGCATCAAGCTAAATGTACAGTTTTGAAAGACTGAATTAATTTGTCAAGTGCAAACTTGTGTATGGCAACTCATCTTTCACATAGAGATCTAAGTCTTTTGGGGAGTAACCTTTTGCATCATATTGCTAGGTAGAAATAGGGTAGTTTTGTTTTTATTTAACCAAGAGACAACATTAAACCATATTTTCCTAACCCAAATTTCTTTAGGTTGAACAGTGCTTCAAACCCAGCGTTCTAGGATTGTTACTTCCTATTTACCTGCTCCCTTTACTCTTTGGTTTCCTGAAAATCTCAGTGACAGCCCTCATACATTCTGTTTACCTTCAACTTAACACTCACTCAGCCTGCTCCATTCACTTAGGATTCTTACCAGTTGAACTTCGTTAAAAATCACTTGCCTCTAACTAGCCTGTATAAGTGTAGTAGGGAAAAATTGCCAGGCTGCTTCTATATTGAGGTAGTAACTTTTAGATTCCAGAAATTTCATAAGCTTTTGTGATTTGCTCTCTAGATGATGCAAGAATTAGAAAGGTTAGAAAATTAAGTACTGGGATTATAGTAAGTTCGGTGGGGGTGATGTAAGTAGAGAGGAGATTCTACTTCACTTAGTAACTACCATTTTTAGACCAGGAAGCAATTTGTTCAGATTCTACTTGCCCTAGAGAGGCAGGCTTCCTTCCAGGGTAGGAGAAGGATGCGGGAAGGGGAGTAACCATGGCAACCTGCCCAGCTATGAGGGCAAGGATAGCATGGGGCCTCCACATGCTCAGAACTTTTATTTCTAGCCTAGTCATTCAGTTTAGTCTGGGTGGTCCTCCTTTCCCACTTCCTTCTGTGATAATGCTGACTTCAGGGGGAAAGATTGCTCCTTTTCTGTTGGGAGTCTGAGAGGGTATGGGGAGGACTTAACTGAGACCAGCGAGGTCAGCCTGACCAAACCAAAGTGCAGGCTTCCAGGCCGAGAACAGAGAGTAACTCCCTGTGTGTTCCAGTGTGAGCACAAGCAAACCTACTGGCTTTATTAAAATCAAGTGCTTGAATAATTAACCTTTTTCAGGTAGGTGAGGGGTATTCAATTTTCATGAAGAAATTTTCCTTTTGCCTTCAGTTTCCACAAAGACTCTTAATTCAGTTGTTCACAGGGAAGCAATAACAAATAAACAAGCAAAACCTTCAAAATCAGATGGAAAAAATTATTCCAAGTATATTAGATTAACTGTCTTCCCAGCAATACTGGGGTAGTTACTACTATTCTCCCCAGAAAGCTGAAGTACGGAGAGGTTATGGAATGTGCCCTAGGCCATGTAACCTGCAATCCTGTAGCAGGACTGGAACCTAGGCAATAGTACTTCAGAAAGTAATTCTCAACTACTGCCCAATTGTGCCCTGTCAGAGGCAGCTAGCGTTGAATGCTGGCCCTCTGTGTCCATACCAGGCATCATTGGTTCCCCTCATCAGGAATTTGCTTGGCTTTTGTCTTTAAGTAAACACTAAGGAGTCTGCTTTCCTTCTGATTCCCACTGGTTAATCCAGTCAGGATATGTTATCATGAGTTGGGTCTCCCTTAGAGATACATGACTGATGTTAAATCGGTTCCATCTGGCCGGGTGTGGTCGCTCATGCCTGTAATCTCAGCACTTTGGGAGGCCAAGGCGGGTAGATCACTTGAGGACGGGAGTTCGAGACCAGCCTGGCCAACATGGTGAAACCCCTGTCTCTACTGAAGATACGACAACAACAACAAAATTAGCCAGGCATGGTGGTGGGTACCTGTAACTACAGTTACTCAGGAAGCTGAGGCTGGAGAATCGCTTGAACCCAGGAGGTGGAGGCTGTAGTAAGCCAAGATCGCACCCTGCCCTCTAGCCTGGGCAACAGAGGGAGACTCTGTCTCAAAAACACAAAACAAAAAAATTTGTTTCATCTAAATATGATTTTGGCCAACTTCTGTGCAGTTCCAGAGCACAGCTTCGACTTTAGAATTACACAGCAGTGCCAGGGAGAATTTTAAAATACCACATCCTGTTACTCAGGTGTTTCATATTGCCAGTCTGGTTCCCATTCTGGTTCTGTCTAAAGAGTGGAAAACCTTATGTGTTTGGTTAGTTACCTAAACCTTCCTGTCTAGTAAGCTTTCAAATCTTTCCAGCTGGGAAAGGTATGTTCTGATGATCATTAGGACAGCTTCAAACCCCAGGACGGCTCGCTCTTAGCAGCTTTCCCAAGCGTTTCAGCATCTCAGCTTTGTCTTTTAAAAGGGTAATAATTAAATCCTCTGGTCTAGAGAATGAGGAAGAGAAACACATGGAACCTCCAAAATTATCCAGGTGAAATATCAGTGGTAGCAAACTTAGGCTTATGAACGTATGAGGGTAGACTTAGAAATGAAGTAGAATGTATTCACTGCACCACCAAGAGCCCATGTCACAGCAAAGCCTCCTGCTTGGGCAGGAGTCACTTAGCAAGGAAGGTATCTTCCTGTTTCCTTAACCTTCACCTTAACCTTCAGGTAATCGAGGCCTGGTTAAGCAGGCCAGTAAATATCATCCCCAACCAGCTGGTCAGCAGCTGCCAGAGGTCCCTGATCTACCTTCATGCCAACAAGTGCCTTAAAAGCAGTACCCTTCAACCCAAACAAGGCGGCTGAAATCCATTCAACCTTTGGAGCAAGACAACAAACAGGCCTAATGCACAGGAATTTGGACTTTCAGTTTAATCTAAAACTATAAAAGTCTTTAGAAGAAATGCAAACTCTGGATTTTGTCCTTGACAAATTAGACAAGGTTTCTAACAAGTGCCTTTGTGCCTCGCTTACATACTCAGGTAAAGATCAACGATCAAGATCAAAGATCCCCAAAATGGCAAATACATATGTGTAAGAGCTCAAAGTTGGAAGACATTCCTCTACCGTCTATTTATTCTGGTTATACATTAAAGCATAGGAGTTCATAGCTGAAAAAGAACTGGTTTCTAGGGCAGTCATTTGGATCAGAAGGGATCCACCGAGCTGGGAGTAGGAAAAGAAGGGGGATGTTACTCACCAACAACCGGAAAAAGAATTCAGTTGGCCTTAGGAGGAAACTGACTAAGGATTTGGAAGAAGTGGTCTGTCCCAGAAATAGACATTAGCAAAGACCACCAGGCCACTTTTCTTTCTCTGGAAGACTTTCCCATTGTACTCTCCTTGTGGTCTTAAGTGTGGCATTATTTCCACATATCCAGCACTTCACCAAAAAGGTCCTTTTCCAAAGATTACAAAGGGCTCAAGCCTCGAATACTCCCGAATTCTCAAGGCAATGAACTTTGATACAGTGTCACTGAGGGCCGTTTCCCTTCAAGGAGGGGAGACACAGAGCCTGGGGTAGGCAGGGCACCTGGCCCAGAAAAGGCAGCCTCCCCAGGTCTGGCTGCTGCGGTAAGAAGCACGGTGAGGAGCTACTTGGTAGCTGCAAGCCCCCTCCTCCCCAGCTAGTTATTCCCTCCGCAGTAGGTGCTTTTGTGTGAGACGCCAACCTCAAGATTTTAAGGACAATCAAGTAGACATCTCATCAAAGCCATTCCAAGAAGCTTATCAGACATCTCAAAGGCATTTTTGTAGCTGCCTTCTTTCCCCTCCCATTCCTTCTGTTTGCATTAGTTATATCTTACCTCTTTCTCCCCCACGCCCCTGCTTTGCCTGACTAAGGCCAGAAATTTTTTCATTAAGTCATTTTATAGAGCAATAGCAACATTTACTATTCATGAATTCGCCCCTCCATAATTTTTAAGTCTTTCCATGTGTCTGGAAGCTTGTTTCTGTTCTTCTCGTTTTACAGAGTAGCTCTCTTCCTTCCAAACACAAACTAAAAAGAAAGGGGAAAAGGTGGGGGGTGGTTGGGGTGGAGATAACATCCAGATTCCTTAAGTGTTTTTAATCTAGTGAAATTTCCCTTTAGACTCAAACAGCTCCCTGCTGAAATTGCAGACCTGAATTCCAGGCTCAGAATTAAGTCAAAAGGGAAAGAGGCAGAAACAAATAACACAGTCAGCTCTATGCTATGAAAACCGCTACGTTGACTGAGGATCCATGGTTTTAACCCATTCATTTTTTCCCCCTTTTTTAGAATTCTTACTCAGTCTTTTTAACCAGCTTACAGCAGACAGGCAAGCACCATATAAACCTTGCTCCCTGCTCCGGGGTATTTAAAAGAAGTTTGTTAAGTCCTTTGGGCAGATAACTTCTTTAGGAATGCTGGTGCAAGACAAAGTTCACATTTTCATGCCATATGTTGTCAGTCACCAGGAAAAAGCTTCTTATGGGCACAAACGAGGTCCCCAGCCTTTGTCACACGGCAAAAATAAACACCCTTGGAGGAGTTAATTAGGCGGTCAGCAGCCACCCCAGTGTCCTAGGAGGGCTGCCCACAGACCTTTTACACACACACACACACACACACACGACACAAAAGGAGGCGTTTGTTAAATGTCACAAGCTGGGCATCTGGAGTCCGATTCGAAAGGTAAATACGTTCCGTGGAAGCATTCCTCAGATGTCAGGCCACAAAACAGCTCGTTTCCCCAAGCACACGGTCTCATTTCTAAGATTCCCCACAGCCCAAGGTCTGTACCCAAAAGGGGGAGCCGGGGGCGAGAGAAGGAGAGCAAAGGAGAGAAGGGGGTTGCTAAAAAAAAAAAAAAAAAAAAAAAAAAGAAAAGGAGCCAGAGGGAAGAAGGATTTGGAAGCTACTCACCGGCTAGCTATTGCCTCCGCGAAGCGAGCATGACTTCCCCGCGCCCGGAGCCTCCAGGCTGCCGCGCAGCGGATGCGGCGGGCCCCGCTTAAATAGCCGCCGGCCGGGAGCTTCGGGCCGCGCGGCCACTCCCGGAGAGAGATATGGTTCTAATCAGATGCTGGCAGCTGAGGACTCCCCAGGAATGTGCCAGGATGTTTTTGCTGCCTGGGCTTGGTAACTCCCCCTCAACGTGTCTGCAGAGTCTTCCAAACTTAACTGTTTATTAACTCGCGCGGCAGCGGCGGCGCGGAGGACGCGGCTCCCCGGGCTCCGCGAGCCCCACCAGCGGGGGGCGATCGCAGGGAACCAGCGACGGGAGGGGAAATGCGTTCGGGGCGAAGTCAAAAGCCCTAGACCGCTGCGGGCGGGGGGCGGGTGCAAATAAGGACAGGAAAGGGAAGCTCCGGAGGAAAGGGGTGGGATCCACCGAGCCTCGTTGCACAGATCCGTTCCCTGGATTGCCACTGCGAGTGATGTGGCACCCGGAGTCATCCCGACCAACCCGTTGGGGCCCTTTGAACAAAGGGCTGCCTTCACTCCTGACTTTCCTGACCAAGGACAACGGATCCTGCGCAGATCTGCAGTTTCTGAAGTTGATCGCGCGATTGCATTGCCCCCCTAGAAAAATTCGAGTCTCCCTCTTTGCAGATGCAAATGTGCTTAAATTACTGGGAAATCTATGTGTGCATATGTAAAACATACCGTATTTACATATGAAATATCCTGTATATACGGATATGAAAACAATATTCTCCCTAGGAAATGGATATGAGCAAAACATGTTCACATCTATGTAGCCTATCAAATAAGTTATAATATATTGATCAGAGATTATATACCGGCTTCCCTTACAGTGCATATATGCCCATATGTAGACACATAACATGACTTTGCACGAATTTCCATAGCATTTCCTATACTTCCAGGAAAAACATGAGCTGCAAGAAATAAAATATTTAAAAATACTGACATAGAGTGCTGAGTGGTAGAAGGTACTGCGCAGTGTTAACAAGCTGGGAATTCATTTTCTCCATATTTTAAAATCAAGAACCACTGTAAAACATCCACAGAAGCTCTGTTGCTTTTTGGAGAATTCTGAAATTACTCTTGTGAAAGCCGTGTCTCTTCCTTTAAAAAAATTATTTTTTATTTGTTAAAGTCAGAGGCAGCACGTAGTAAATGTGAAAATGCTAAACTGTGTCTCAGATGGGAGGGGGTTGTTGATTTTATCGAGTAAGCAACACAGTGAATTTGCATTTTACCTCTGGAAACTGAGGGTTCAAATAGGGCTCGTGGGACACCAAGGATGTATTTTGTGGTCCGTGCCTAGCCTTGACTGCAAAGCCACTGTGTAATCTGGGGTAGCTCAATGTGAGTGGCAATCTCTGCTCTCAAGTAGGTCATGCTTGAACAACCCATGTTGCGGGTACTGAGGGGTGCAGAGCAGCACAGCCAACCCCAAAATTCTACCCCTGGCCTCTACTATTTCTCATCCCCTGATACACCTGGGGGTGCAGAGGTGGGTAGGGCCATGCTGACAGTTTTCAATATTCCTCAGAGGTAATTTGCTATTAAAAAAACTTACTACGTGTGAATGACAGGAAGTATACAAATTTTAGTCTAGAATGGTATTCTATTTATAACGTTTATACAGAGAAATTTCATTCTAGTACATCGTAGCACATAGAGTTTTGTTTCTAAACTCAAAGTCCAGTTTCATTTCTAGTGGCTAGGTAGCTGGGAAAAGGGCTGCTGATTTCAGGCAAATGGGACTTTGACAATTAGAAAGACATGGGTGTCTCTTTTAGCCTCAATACGTAATATTTTCTCCAATCAGAAGTGCCCACTCAAACCTATTTTTTTTTTTAATGAAAGACTCTTAAGAAACGTTAACTTATGTTTGCTCTACCCCGCCAAATGGAAGGGGTTTGTCTAAGAAGCCAAAGGAAGAAAATGATTTCATCTGCTATGAGTTGTAGTTTCAAGAAACTTTGATGAAAACAGTTCATTTAAGAGCAGTGGGCTCACACTTACAATTTAAAATAGACACCTCTTATTTTGCACAGCAATCTGAAGAGTTGATGGTGGAGAATTCTGGTTTGAAGTGTATTTTTATATTTCTAGGGCACTGATATTGCTTCTGGCAGTAATTCAATGTCCTGCTCACATTAAGAAAAAAAAAAAAAAGAAAATTAATGTAACTCTTTCTATACCTAGTGAAACGTTGTCTCCATTACATCTAAGTTGTTCACTTTGCAACAAATCCAAAATGAACATCCTTCCCTCTGGGGAATCACACCAAAGCCCACCCAGATGTTCACCCTGCCTAAATTGTGGTCTTTTCTTATCACCACTGAAACGTATGTTCAGAAAATTAAGGTGAGGAAAAGTCAACGCAATGTTTGAAAAACAATAGTCTTTGAATGGCACTTGTCCCTTGCAGAAAACCTGCCTGTGAGGGAGAAGGAAAAAATAAAATAAAACAAATGACTGTGCTCCCAGCCTAGGAAAGGGGTAGTTAATCCCGTGATGGCTTGGAAGAATGCATGGTTTATTATTAAAGTAATCTCTTAAGATTTTCCTGGAATGTGCTTCCACAGCAACTCGGCCTGTTCCAACTATCCTATGCATGTGTCTTTTCTTCCATAATTAAGCTGTTTTCCCCTGTTAGCTCACAGACCTAATACTTTCTCTCCTCTTTCTCCATCACTTCTTCTATCCCCCTCTCTACTGCTCTTGTCCTCCTTAAACCACCCATTTGAATCCTGCCATTTCCCAAGAATTGTAAATGGCACTTTGGAACTGGCTATAAAGTAAATTGCCTGTGTGCCTTTGATGGCTTGCTGGACACAGAGATGTTCAAATCAGACAAGGATTTGTTGAATTGAACTAGCAAGGTCACATCTCTCTTTTTTCCTTCTCCAAATCATTTTAAAAAATGAAGAGAATGGCTATTGTTCCCAGAAAATGTTCTCTGACCTTGACCAGTCCTGCATATTTAACATTACAGAAAAACTGACCCTACCAGATTTGATGGCTGGCAAGTCAAAACAAATATCCGAGGTTTTTTTCGTATCTCTATCCATCTACCTGTCCATCTGTCTGATCTAAAATATTTAGAGGATAGCTTCATTGACGGCAACCGGTTTGTTTGTGTTTTGTTTTCTTGCTTACACCACAATAGCACCTCAAGACTAATATGTATTTTTCTGTTTTGTGCCATTTTAATAAAACTCAGGTGGTAGACCACTAGGGTACTTGGAAAAATCGGTATTTGTAAAATGAAGACCATTTAAAATTCAATAATATAAATGTATATAATTAATTACATTTCACTTACCAATACGAATTTTTATAATGAGAAATTGTGAAAGGGAAATAAATACTCTTATAAAAATTACCATTCAAATAAATACTGTCTTACTTGGAAAGAAGCTTAGCAAGAGTTATCAAAAATGAAAATACATAAAACGCTGCAGGAATACTAATATTAATTGTGAATGTAGCAAATACATACACTTCTCTATCCTAGGAGTAAGAATCTATCCACTAGAAATAAAGCACATGTATAAGATGTAAGGATGTTAATTGTATCGTTCATAGCAGCAGGAAGCTAGGACAAAGTATGCCTGTCAATGAACAATGACTGAATATGTTATAATTTATCCATACTATGAACTCATATGTAAGAATGGTTACATATGAGTTCATAGTATGGATGAATTATAGTAAATTAGAGTCAAACCTTGTAATACGGGAATATTTTGATTTAAGTTTGGTTGAGTGAGAAAAGCAAGACATAGAAAAGAATAGAAAAGATGTTTCTATTTTAGTAATATAAAAAGCAACAGCTGTTTATATATATTTGAGTACATGTGTTTGTGTGTGTATATGTAGGATTATCAGGGAGGTTGCAGTTCAGATTACTAGGGGCCTGGTGGAGACAAGGGCAGAGAAAAGCGGTGGGAGCCACGCAAAAAAAAAAAAAAAAAAAAAAAAGTTTTTTGGAAGATTTGGTACATTTTTTTAATGGAGTGAAAGATATATGCACAGGTTTGTGGTTTTTTTAAATTAAAAATGATTATATCATTTTAAGATAAAGAAAGAGAAGAAAAGAAATCCTACAAAGAGTTTTCATGGAGGTCTACCTTTAGGCTTTTCAAAAGTGAGTATTCATCAGTGTTCTCATTGCTAATTCAGCTCCTAGAGCAGCAGTTGTCAAATTGTAATATTTACAACAGTCATCCTGGAAGATGGCGACTAGGGTCAATTCCTGGGCCCAGCATCAGAGACTTCTCTGGAAAGGTCTGTAGTGGGTACCAGGGAATCTGTGTTTTAATCAGCGCTTCCAGGCCATTCTGATGCAGTGGTCTTGGGGACCACAGTTTGAGAAAGGCTGCATTTCTCCTGAGGTCAAGGGGATACTCTTTTGATATCCTTTGTGGGATAAGAACTATGTGGAGAGACAGAGAGAGGGATTCACTCAGAATCAAAACCACAGGACTGAGAGGCAGGGGCCACCTGTCATTAGCCACCGGCCTGGCTCTCTGGAGTCTCAGACAGGCTCCTGGATCTGATGGTATCTTCTCTCCCTGTCAAAGCTTGTTTTCAAAGAAAGAAAGATCTCATATCAGCCATTTTCATTGATGTGTACCCAAATATTTGCATTTTCAATCCCGTTTCTTCCTATAGAATGAAAGGCACCTCTCATTGTTTAAGAGAGGCATCTCTGGAAGAACAGGGACAGATTTTTTTTTTTTTGCTCTATTTTTGAGCATGTGGAGGTGACTGTCAACTCTACAACAAACTCACTTTAAAGATACCTAGAAAGATAGAAGAATATAGACTTTCAACTCCTGGGACAACCCTCTACTATCCCTGCAGTCACGCTACATCTTGGCTTCAAGGTGGTTACTTGAGAATTAAAACTATTAGGTTCATGATTGTCTTCATGACATAGCAAAGGAGAGTGAGATTTAGAATCAGATCTGGGTTAGAGTACTGGTTCCATCTCTTACTAACTTCCAGATTTAGGGCAAGCCACTTAACTTCTCAAGTATACAACTTCCTTGTCTATAAAATGGACATTCTCCCATCTCACCCTCCCATTTTGGTGGGAAGCAAAGACAACCATATAATGAAAGACTTTGGAAAGATTGATACTATAGCCACGCAGTAAATTATGTGGAAAGAATACCACAAATACATTATTGCTGGAAAGGTGTTCTTGTCCCAAATTATTTCCACCACCAATATCAGAAATTCGTTTAATAAATTGTGTGTTTTGCTAACTGTGCTCCTCTGGCTGTCGAGAAATTTCTTAAGGCTGATCCTTTCGGTGGGATAGTCCCAAACCCTGACTTTCTAACTTATTAGTGAGGATTATTTT